CTCAGTGCCATGAAGCTTCTGCTACTAGTCGTCTGTTCATTTCACTCTCCTGTCTGCCTCTCCCGTACACACGTTTGCTGACTGGGGTCTGGTTATCTTCAAGGCTGCTCTCCTTTCTAACAATCAGTGAACCATGTCTGACAAGCTGTCAGTTCCTTGGGGCAGCGGCTATACCTTGTTCATTCCTATGTGCCCCTTGGCTACCAGCACAGCTCTTGAACACAGTAGGTGCTCAAACCATATTTGGGGGATTAATTTGTTCACACCGGCTCAGCCTCCATGCTCTGCTGCTTGCACAGTATGGGGGTCATTTACAACTTATAAAAGAAATGGAGGGAATATTTATTATATGGCCCCTCCCTGTGCAGTCAGAGCTGTCTCCCACAGCAGGACTGGTGCCTGCCCTGAAACTCACTCTTGAAGCAAGGATGAGGGCTGGGTAGACAAGGGAGCCAGCACCACAGGTGTCACCTCTTCCACACCAGGCTTAGACCAGGCTTAGACCAGGATTAGACCTTCTGCACCAGGTTAGACACACACACACACACACACACACACACACACACACACACACAGAATGCCCTGCCCCAGCTAGTCCCAGGGAGGAGAGTAGATGGAGGCAGCAGGGAGGGTTCTGTCCGTGGTGCTGAACTCACCTCAACCCCACTTTGTCCTCTAACCCAGAGGCAATTTATAGCCTCCTGGGGAACCAGGAAAACATACAGACTCCCTAGCCCTTTATTTGGAGGTTTGGATTCTGAGGATCTAAGATGGGGCTCTGGGATCCCTCCATACCAGCCACCCGAGATTATAATGCAACCACCTTGATATTGGCCTAAAATTGACTCATTCATCTAAATGGTCGCTGGTCTTCGTGTTGTGCCTGCTATGTGCCCGGTACTGAGAAGGGAAATGCATCTCTGCTCTGGGAGAAATGTGCAAAGTCATTCAGGAAGAGGTGTCGGAGTCAAGGAGGAAAAGAGGTCCCTCTGCTTTACGTGGACACCATGCTAGGCACAGACTTCACCTTCATCCTGTGAGATGAGATAAGTAGACAACAGAAAACAGTATTACCCATAACCATAACCAGCACTGGTCCCTTTCCTTAGGGTCTCCCTAGTCCTGTCTGCAAGGTAGTGCATGACACACGCTGCTCCTTCTGATGGCCTCACGACTCAAGACCCAGATCCATCAACACCCACATCAAATCTTCCTGACCCCCATTGCCTTGTAGGCCCCCCAGATTGTAGTCCTTCCTCCTTCTGCACCATGGTCTTGTTTCATCATTACCAGATACTCCAGGTTTTTAATATGTCCCGACTGGGATTTGAGCTCCCTCTTGAGGCTAGGTCCTGCATCTGTGTAAGCAACCTCTCACACAGAGATGTCTCCCCACACTCCCCCACCTCCCCCCACCCGGAGAAGATGAGCAGTAAATTCTTACTGGACAGACGACTGAGGGGGTGGTAAGTGGGTGGAGGAATGTGTCCAATGACCGTGCACAGGGAGAGTGCCACTGGGTTACAAAGCAGCAGGAACAAGTGCTCAGAACCAAAAGAATCAGGGTAGGCCTCGGGGAAGCCAGGCAATAGGCCAAATGTCATTCAGGCAGGGCCAGCTTCCGGTCAAGGTCTGCCTCTCCTTCCTCTGGCTGTTTGGGGGAGAACAGAAAATGGAACCAGACTGCGGTGTCTGATGAGAACAGATGTTATCTGGGCCTGAATGTGGGACATGGAGGAGGGGGTAAGGGAGGGAGAAAGAGAAGGGGGAGGACCAGAGCCAACAAATGGAATAGCCACAGACCCTCATTATTTTATTTTTTATTACAGAAATGTTCAAACACACCCCAAAGTACAGAGAATGCATTATGAACCCCCATGTGTCCATCACCCAGCTTCCACAACCACCCCTATTTTGCTAGTCTTATTTCATTCCTCCCCTCAAGCTCCCTTTTAAAGAAAATTCCAGACATTATATCATTTCACCCATAAATATTTCAGAATATATCTCTTTTATGTGAGAACATTTCTTATTAAAAAAAGAACCTGGGGGTGCCTGGCTGATTGAGTCAGAAGAGTGTGCAATTCTTGATCTTGGGGTCATGAGTTCAAGCCCCACCTTGGGCATAGACACTACTTAAATAAATAAACTTTAAAAAAACCAAAGAGAATCTCAGTATCATTATCACACCTAGTAAAATTAACAATTTCTTTTTTTTTTTAGATTTCATTTATTTATTTGAGAGACAGAGAGAGAGAACACAAGCAGGGCAGAGGGAGAAGAGGAAGCAGGCTCCCCACTGAGCAGGAAGCCCAATTTGGGGCTCGATCCTGGGACTCTGATATCAAGACCTGAGCTGAAGGCAGACTTGTAACCGACAGAGCCGCCCAGGTACCCCCAAATTAACAATTTCTTAATACCATCTAATACAAAGTCCATGGTCAAATTTCCTCACTTTTCTCAAAAACACCTTTTCTCACCCATTTATTCAAACCAGGGTCTAAACAAGGTCCATGCGCTGCCTTCGGTTGCTCTGCCTCTCAAATCTCTTACAATCTCTAACGGTCCTTCCTTCCTACCTTGTGTATGCCCTCTTATTTGCTGAAGAAACCATGTTCTTCATCCTATAGAGTGATCTCCCTGTTGATGTGGTGGGCTGAACCCTCACGGGGCCATTGAACGTTTCACTATCCCCCCATTTCCTGAAATTGGTATTTAGATCCAGAAAGTTGGCCTGCATAGGGTCAATGACTCAGGCAAGTGGACTTCCTGGGCAGTGCTGTGTCCTTCCTACTGCATTCCATCAGGAGCACGGAAGGTCAGGTTTTCCCTTTTGGGGTGATACTAAACATGGTCAGGTTCCCCAAGCTGATCACCCATCTGGGGGAAACCAGTTGGACTTCCACCAGGGGAAACAGGGGGCCAGTGTACCTGCGAGCAGTGAGCAAGGAGGTTGGCTGTGGGGACACAAGTGAGGTGGACCGTGGCCCAACCCCAGATGGTAGAGGGGAGGGGATGGCCAGTCCAGCCCCCTGCCCGCCCCCCTTTTACCACTGAGAGAGGCCAGGGAGCGGCTCTTTATTTGGCAGGTAATACCTATGCCGGGAGATCTCTGTAGAGCATCTCCAAGCCGCACAGCACTCAACGTAGGAGTCACCGTGTCTATTTCACTGGTGGGGCCAGTGAATGGTGATGTAACCTGCCCAAGGGCATAGAGCCAGAGGTGGAGAGGAGAGCAGAACTCTCCTGACCCTTCAGAGTCAACTCATGCTGAGGCGACCACTGCAGAACCAAGTTGCCTGAAGCCTTCATTCTCTTACCTCTAAGTCCTATGACCTGGACCATGGGCCTTCTCCCTCTCTGTGCCTCAGTCTCCTAATCTGTCGAATGGGAATAATATCTGCCCAAGGGGCCCCTCAAGACCAATACAGCATGGTCCAACCTTGTCCCTCTCCCCCACTCTGCCAGCCCTGCCTGTGGGGCCCACTTGGGTCACCTCAGTCCAGAGCGCAAGCAGCTTTATCCTCTCCCCTACAGACATGCAAAGGGTTAAATCCAGACACCCACCCACCCCCCCCTTCCTCCATCCCAATTCTGATCCTTGCTGACTCTGCTCCCCCTCCCTACCATAGCTATTCTGGGACAATGGAGGCAGCAGATGGCCCGAGTCCTGTTCCCTCCACCCGACCCCCAGGATCTGGGAACAACCCGCAAATCTGCTGCTGCTGTTTCTAAAAGCAGGCCGGCCGGCAGCCTTCCGCATACGGGGTGGAGAGGACAACAGCTGTGGAGCACACCCATCCACCCCCCACCAGGGCTGCAGGGCCAGGGCTATCCCTACTCCGTTCGTGTCCCAAAAACCCAGCCTTAGCTTAGCCCAGAAAGAAAGGAGGCTTTGCAAGAGCCCAAGCACTTGACCGACTCTGCACTTGACCTGCTGTGTGACCACAAGTACATGGCAGTCCCTCTCTGGGCCTCAAATTCCCCTTTGAAAACCAGGCCCGAGGCTCCGGTGCTCTGTGGTTCCAGTTGTCCCAGAGGTACATGAAGGATGAGGTCCTCCAGGGGCTGGAGGGGTGCACTCCAAGGAGCCCTCAGCCTTGGTTGCCTGGCTTAGAGCCCCACTATCCCTCGGGATCTCTCCTCTGTCCTCCCTCCTACCCCCAGCCCAGATTTCCACGGTGGCCCCAACATCCCACACCACTGGGAAGGGCGCATGGGGAGAAGAGGTGTCCCATTCCTATGGCTCCCCAACTTCAGCAGCGGCATTCCTGAACGTCTGCCATGACTGTTTACCTTCATTCAGGTGGGTCGTTGCGACCTGTGACCCTAAGCACGCTTGGATCGATTCACCTCCTATCCCAGCTGTCAGACTGCCCCTTTCTCTGCCCCAGAGGCTGACTCCCTCAGCTACGTCTCCACTCTGCCTCTCCCAGTTCTCTCGCTACCCCCAACCCAGGCTCCGGGGACAGAGAAAAGGAGAAGTAGCCCGCGGCATACCAGCGCCACATGGCACACACCCAGTCACACGTGTCTACACAGTACACACATGTGTGATGTGGGCACCCACACGTACATTCACCACACGTCTGTCCTTATGCACAGACCTGTGTGGAAAGGGGACACACCACACCACACAGCCACGCACGCCCTCACACACCCTGGCTCTCCATGACTCAGCACACGCTAGGAGCACTCACTGCTCACGGAAACCTTCCTTCTCCGTGCCAGGCCGGGCTGAGCCCTTCACGAACACGCTATCATTCCACCCAGCTGTCAACCCACAGAGAAGGGGTTCCTTCCCACCTCTATAAAATGGGCAAAGAACCCAGGGAGATGAAGTGGATGCTTCAAGGTCACATATACAACCAGGAAATGCATAACAGGAACATCTAGCCGGGATCCAGACCAACACCACCACCACTGGGACAGGCCGACCTAAGAGCCCACCCCAGCCAGGAACACACCGGCTGCACACGTAACAGAAGACCAGACCAAGAGAGGTTGAAACAAGTGTTTAATCTTCTCACAGAACCAGATGCCAAAAGGGACAAGTATGCATGACAGTCAAGGCCTTTCCTTCACAATAACAAGGCAACTGCCCCAGATCCAGACATCACGCCCACGTTCACAGCATGAAGATGGGTACAGGCCACAGAATCTTCCCCAGGACCCTCTCCATTGGCCTTTCTTACTTCACACTGACACACTGAGCAAGGGAGGCTGGGAAAGTGAGCAAAAGGACCGTCACGATGGGCTGGGAACCATCACCATCCGCCATCTGGGTCGGAGCACGATGATACCCCAAACAAAATGGGATCTGTTTGCCAGGGGTCGGAGCAAGGAGCTGGCCACTGGTCAGCAATGACAGTCCCTGCCCCAGGCCCCGGGCTCTGTCCTTATTCCAGTTGGGCCCCCTCAGGGGTTGGAGATCCAGCCGAAGGAGCTCGGAATGGATGGTCCAGTGCTTGACCCCAGGGGAATGACAGAGACCAGAACTGGGGGTGGAGGCCAGACCCCACCCCAGGGCCCATGTGATCCTCTGGAGGTTAGGAACCCTGAACCCCAACCCAGTTCAGGGGTTCTCTGTGCTTTTTCAGTTCAGCCACCCAGGGCCCATAGAAGCCCAGCCCCTGGGGCCTCTCAGGCACTCCCCTGGTGCACCTGTTCTCTGGGCTGTCCAACCCACCTCCCAGAGGCCTAGGACGCTACGCCTTCACTGCCAGCCACCATACAATCCTGGGTTGACCCACCACTCAGAGGCCCAGCCAGGGACTCCCACGCAAAAGGCACTTGCCACAAGTCCCCAGGGCTGCCTGGGGAGACCAAGGACAACCAGAAGCCTCAGCCCAAATTTTGCCCCACTGTTCAGGGTTCATCTGGCCATCAGTTGTGGGCACCAAGGAGTATCTGGATAGAGGAGACAATGGAGAGAACGGAACCTGTGGAGAGACCAGAAATGGACAAGACGATCATCCCGACTCGCACGCTCACTCCATGGGCTCCTAGGGGAGCCCATGTCACAGAGATGGTTTGGAACAGGATTTTTCCCCTTCAGCACCCTTACGATTTAGGGCTACATAAGTCTTCGTTGTGGGGTGCCCTGTGCCTTGTCAAATGTTTACAGCACCCTAGGCCTCTTCCCATGAGAAGCCAGTAGAATCCTCCTGAGTCATCACCATCAAAAATGTCTCCAGACATTGCCAAATGTCCCCGGGAGGGGGGCGGGACTCATGGAAACCACCTGTTTAGAGAGACTCCAAAGGCCAGAGATGCCACGATGAGACCCCAGCTGAGGCCAGACTATCCAGTCACATGTATCTGAGTCCCCAGTCGGCTCCAGCCCTACAAGGCAGGAACCTTTGGATTCTAGAATCTTCAGGCTCAGAGAGAATTTCACATCTGCTCTTAAACCTCCTGATAGTCTAGCTATAGCTATGCCCTTCCACTGACGAGGAGCTCACCCCATGAGAAGGCGGCTCCTTTCATCTTAGAAATGTGAATTTTTTTTCCTATATTGAGCCGAACTCTGTCTCTGTGTAATGTCTAACTTATTCAACGCAGCCCTGGCCACAGGGCCCCTTAAACAGTCATGAGCCCTCTGCCCTACCTACTGAAAAGGACCACTGAAGAGTATCAAAGAAACAGAGAGCCTACAAAAGCTCAAATAAAATTTTCCCATCAGGGCCTGAAGTTCTTCCCTTAGAACATCTCCTTTGCTCAGGGAAGACATTTCAGTATTCCAGGAGCTCCTGAAGAATCCCAGAGGCCTGGGAAAGCCCTTCAGATCCACGACACCCAGCCTCCTTGTGCTCCAAATGGGGAGACTGAGGCCCAGAGAGAGCAAGGTATTCACCCAAGGTCACACAGCAATCCTGGGGGAGAGCAGAGACTGAAATCCACTCCCTGCACTCCCAGCTCTGTGCTGTCAGCTTCCAAAGCCTTCCCTCCCTCCAGGTTCCCCTATGTTTGGACACCCGGACTCAGACCCCCAGCTCCGATCCTATAGTTTGAGCCCCTAGACTCACCTGGAAGGGTCCTCCTCGGGGGAGAAGGGGCCTTGTAGCTTAATGACATTGAGCTTCCCCTCGAAGACGCCATAGCTGAGGGTGACCTGGGCAGAGAAAAGCAGAGAAGAAAATGAAGGTTGGTGGGGTGTCCCACAGAGAACACCACAAGGGGGCAGTATTGGGGCAGAAGCAGGGAAAGCCCATGAGGCACTCTGAGGGGCGCAGAGAGCCTGCCTCTGCCCCTAAAATCCCACCTTTAGCACTCGCTGAGGAGCCCACCCCACTCTGCAGGAACTTCAAGCTTGTGGGGCACTATCCCTAATTTGCATCCCCAGCAGTGGCCCTACCTGAGAGGCTGGAAAAAATCCCTTGCCTATAGACTAGGAAACTGAGTCTCAAGAGGGAAAAGCACCCTTCCAGTAAATTCCATGCCTGGACAGCAGTTTCTTGAGACTCACTGTGGGGCCTTGGCACTCCGTCTCCACCTGGACCCTTGGGATACTCCACACGCAATGAGGACATGGGCTAATGCCCCTTGTCGAGAAGCAGTCGACCACAGTGGTTAAAGACCGTGGGCTTAGGGGCCACCCAGGCAGGGTTCAAATCCCCCACTGCCTAATGTTAACTGTGCCATGGTTAGTTCTGCTCTCTGGGCCTCAGTTTTTCCACCTACAGAATGGGAATGTTAGAGCTCCCCTCACGCAAATGTTGGAAGGAAGCAGAGTTAAAGCAGATAAAGCCACGCACGGTGTCCGGCGTGGTGGGTATTCTGGAAATCCCTGCCATTAGGGTACCTGGTTTGGGCTGCCCAAAGTCTGTGCCCCTTTCCTGGTTTCAGTCCATCCGGTCTTACCGAGGCCAACACTACAGCCCAGGTCCAGGCCTGGTGAATCCACACTAACTCCTGGCTCTGGGAGGGGACGGGTCGTGTGACACAAGCCGGCCTTCCACGAGCACCAGCTCAGGCCTTCCAGACCACTGAGCACCAGCCCTGGGATGTGGCGGAAGGAGGAGTGCTCTTCCTTGGGGTGGGGTGGAAACCTAGAGCTGCCATCTTGCCCCCCGAGGAGCGAGCCTCCCTCAGGGTGAGCCCAATGTCAGGGAAGACAGGCCAGAGTGGGGACAGTCTGGGCACATAGACTCAGCCGGAACTTACAAGCAGCCCCCGGCTTCCCAGGCTCATGAGCCCTTACATGCCCAACATACGGTCTGTGCTGCATTTGTGTCCCTCGCTACCAAAGGGTTCTGACTCACACTGTTGGGTGGAGGATCTCAGGGACCTTCCCAGCCAGGATCCCCTACAGGACTGGCCACCCAGAGGAGGACGGCCGCGGGCACAAGACAGAGCCAGCTGGAACTCCGTAGAGCTGTTGCTTGCCAGGTGGTGGAATGGGGTACCCCCCCCCAGCCAGACATTATGCCTGAGGTTTCCCACTAAGCACCTGCTCTCTCCCAGCAACATCTGGGTTAGAACAAAAGCAGGGGGGCAGCGGGCAGGTAAGCTCTGATGAAGGCGGGACAGCCAACAGGCAGAGTTGGAAAGGGCATGCCTGACCCCTTTGGAGGGATGCTGGGGGATGGAAGAGGGACAGGAGGGAGTGGAGAAGGCAGGGAGGGGAGCAGTCTGAACCTGAAGGTAAGCTTCACCTGGTCCATGCAGGTCGTTGCAGCTGGCACTGGGGACCAGACCGAAGAATTTGAGCATCATAAACGCTAACCCTTGAGGGCTGGTGGTGGAGAGGGCTGAGTCACGTGGGTCCATCTGAGGGTGCTTCCCCACCTTGGGCCTCAGTTTCCCCCTCAGTAGGGAATACCCCCCACACACACATGCATCCCTCTCCTATCGCCCCAAGGCCAGTTCACCTGCTCTGGGAGCTGGGAAGCCCCCAGCAGCTGTAGGGTCTCCAAGTGGGAGTGGAAGAGGGGGCTGGGCTGCAGGCGGCCGCCTAGCTTGCACTCGACAATGTAGCCCACGGTGCAGTCGTCGGGCAACCGGATGAGGGCGGATGTTTCCACGAAGCGGGAGCCACTGAGAGAGAGAGCCGGGCACTGGCGAGTGGCACAGAGCTCGCCCTGCCTCCCAGAAGGCCCTCCCTCCCAGGGACAGGTGGGTAGAGCAGAGCTCCAGCTCCAGCATCTACCTCCTGGGCACCGGGTGACTTCCGGCAAGCCACGAACCAGGGGAGCCTCAGCTTCCTCTTCTGCGAAATGGGCGTGATAATGGCCCTGCCCTCACTGGGCTATTGTGAAGTTCAAGGGGAAGAATGGCAAGAAGAAGCCCTTTATAAATGTATCCCTTCCTCTCTTTACATTCATTCACTCATTCATTCATTGCTGAACTCCAGGAGCTACCTGTGTGCCAGGGACTGTGCTGGGGCTGCGGATACAGAGATGAGAAAGAAAAGCTTCCTGCCCTTGACAGTGGCCCCCATTCTGAAGGGAGACAGAGGAACACATCATTTCAGGGCAGGACTGGCTCTGAAGTCAGAGGAAAGCATGAGGCTTGGGAGACAGAGGGAGGGTAAGGTGGGCTTCCCAGAGGAGGTGGCACACTTTTGTTTTGCTTTTCATTTAATCATGGCAATGGCAGGCTTTAAACGGAGTCTTGCAGAATGCACCGGAGTGAGCCAGATGTGGAGGAGGGGAGGGGCCGTGTCCCAGGCAAGGGCATCACCGGACTGCATACCCCATGAACACTCCTGGGGGCCAGGTTGGGCAGGCTGTCCTGCTGTATAGAATGCCTGACTGAGGGGCACAGTGGGTGCAGAAACCCAGCCTTCCCTTCTCATTCCAGGTTGTGCCCAAGGGCTGCACCTGCCCAAGGGGGATACTTTTTCCAATTCACACAAATATACCATAAAGGTGGGCAGAAGCCCAGATGGGGGCACCAGGCCCAGGGAGGACCCCTGGTTACGTGTACACACCTGCGCTGGACATGCCCTACGACAGCATTACAGCTCCCAACCGGGGCCCGAGTTCCCCCCTGGAGGACCCCTCCCATCCAGGTTGGAGCAGGCTGGGGTGGTGTACTGGCAAAGCAGGCAGGCCTTGGAGTCAAAGCCAGCAGCTGAGTGACCTCAGACCTGGGTGACCTTGGACCAATCACTTGCCCAACCTCTCAAGCCTCAGTCTCCTTAGCTGTGGAAACAAGACTGACAAGCAGTCAGTCTTGACGCCCTAGTGAAGCGCAGGCCCGGCTCAGAATGGGCCCCCAATATAAGGGAGCAACACGGATACTGTTGCTAATAACAACAGTTGCTAATAACAACAGCCTGTCCACGCAGCCCTCAAGAGGCCAGGCCTTTGCTACTTCCTCTCCAGAATACCAGTACCCTCATCCCATATTGGGGGCTTCGGCAACCCCCAGGATCCCCTTCACTCGGGGACCTCTAGGGCTATCCCAGTTCAAAGGCCACCTCTTCCAGGAAGCCTTCCTCCTGGCCCCAAGCAGAAGGCCCTACTTCTTCCTTCCTCTGAACACCTCTACACTTGGCCTTCACCTCCCCTGTGACATGGGGGACTGGGTGCCAGCCCAATTGTTCACCCTCCCACCAACCGTTAGCTATCATATTATCAGGTCCATTTTACAGATGGGGGCACTGAGGCTTGCAGGGATTACACAACTTGCCTGTGTGTGGCAGAGTGCCCTGATGGCAGGATGGCAGGTGGCTTTCTCACCACTAACTGTGTAACTGTGACACAGCATGAATGAGAGGCAGGTTTCTCCTGAGCTCACTCTCAAGCTCTTCCTGCAGCAAAGGACCCCCCCCCCATACACCAGGCCCTGCTCTCCACCACCCACCTGTGGGGCTTGCTTACCTTGCCCACGGGGCCATCTTCAAAGCCAGTTCGCGGTTGATGCAGAAGCCAGCACCCCCAGTGGCAAACCAGAACTGTACCAGCCTCTGGGGGGAGAGGTGGGGAGGGCCAAGGTGCAGGATGAGCCTGGGGGTGGGGGGCCACAGCTGGGCCCCCCTCCATTGGCAACCAGCATGACTCAAAACCTTTTTATTTCACCTTTCACTAAAGTCTTGCTACAGCTTGACATCATCATGCCCATTTTACAGATAAGAATACTGAGGCCCAAAGTCACATGGCTAATTAAGAGTGATGGGGTCACCAATTAGATGTAACCTATTTGTCCACCAAGCACACCTTACCCCTTTCCCCAGAGGAATGCCCCCCACCTCACCCCAAGTGGTTCAGGAGGGGCCATCAAATACAGCACCTGCTCCCCTGGGTCCCAGGAGGGGGGCAGGTGCCCCAGGAAAGGTAGATCGTAAGGCCACACCCCCTGACCCTGTGATTGGCCCAGTGACAGGCACATGACTTAGGCCAGCCAATCCAAGTTCTTCCCTGAGCTCCCTATGCTAGCTGGGAGGAAGAGACGCTTTCTACAGGGTCACCAGGCTTGGGAGCGATCCTCCTCAAATACCCCGTACCAAGCCACCTGCACTGGCCTCATCACTTCCAGCTCCAGGGACTGAGAAAGCTTTTCTGCACAAGGAGAGAATGAAGCTTCCCACGGAGTAAAGAGAGAAGGATGGGCAGGCCAGCAAACCCCTTGACATCTCAGTCTCAGGAACCCGTAACCTCCCTTGGGGTTTAAACCACTCTCTGCCCGGCTTCTCTGGGAGGCCTCGTGAAGTCACAACTAAGAATTTCTCTAAGGCTCTGGCAAACCCTGCTCCCTTTCAGCTGTCCTATCTCTTGACCAAATTCCCTATGGTTACCTTCTCCCAAGTACACAGTTGGTGCTTAATTGATGCACATTGCATGGGGTTGGGTTATCTCCTATGATGCAGCAATGAGAAGAACCCGGGGCAGGAAGCTGGGAAGCCTGATTCTGGGGCCTCAGCCTCCTCCACTGCCCAGCTGTGTAACCTAGAGAAAGCCACCACTCCTCTCTGGGCCTCAGATTTGTCACCTTTGAGCACCCCTGCTCCAGTTCAGCCATCCCTGTGTCTTCCCCCTAAAGACCTCTATGAGCTGCTTCTGGAAATGCCGCCCTCTTAGACAGAGGTGTTCAGGCCTTAAGCAGAATGAACAGGTTCTTAAGATCCTGACATACAGTTGGTGCCCAATGAATGCTTGTTTAATGACCTATGGGTCCAGGGCTTCTCCTCCCAGATAATTAAAGGAACAACAGCAGTAACAGTAGACATGCCCAACCCTGAGCACTGACATGCAGAGAAGGGAGGTCACCAGCCTGAGGTCCCACAGCTGGGACTGAGCCTGAGCCAGAAATCTTGCCCCCTTTTGCTATCTCCCCCCACACCACATAGCCTGGGGGGAACCCCAGAATCCAAACAGGCTAGGACACTTTGGGACAGAGTCTAGGGATCCCGCCAGGGGGCATGGGTATTAGTGCCCATTGAGGGGTTGGGGCCTGGGTGTCCCCAGCAGGTGCTGAACCTCCCCAGGAAGAAGGCCCCAAGATGAAGGCTGAGCTGGGTTGGGTTGGGTACCGACTGCTGACATTCACTAGTGTCAACACGTGCCAGATCCCATTCCAAGCACTTGGGTACGTGACCTCATTGAATTGTTCCCCTTTCTGCTCACAACGACCCTATTAGGTGGGGACGGTTATCATCCATTTTGCAGATGAGGAAACTAAGGCACAGAAGGGTGGGGTGACTTGAGCAAAGGTCGGGAAGCCAGGAGGTGGCAGAGCTGGTGTATGAAGCCAGGGAACCAGGCTCCAGAATGGCATTCTCAACCCCTACAGCCAAGCATGTGGTGGTGTGGGGGCCTGGGGCACCCCTCGCTCACCTGGAGTAGACTTACACACACACCCCCAGGGCCCAAGAGGATTTAATTAGGGCTCAGAGGCCGATTAGCCGCTGATAATTAAGGTTGTGTGTTTCCTACTCTTGGTTTCCCTAACGAAGCAGATGGTGAGCAGGGGTGGTAGAGAGCCCCACTGCGGCCCAGCTCCTGCTCCACATGCTGTCTCGAGGGAGGGGCGCCCCCTGACTAGCCTTTTCCCTGGGGCCAAGGGAGCCCTCTAGGGGCCTGGGCCACACCAATGCCAGAAGCCTGGTGGGTCCTGGGGACCAGGAGAGAACCACGCTCCGTACTTACACTACAAAATTCTTCGCTGTTCAGCTGAAAGTCCAATTTAACTGTTATCCTGATTTTTGGCTTATTTGTTTCCTAAATCTCACAGCCCTCATTAGCGTCCATCTAGATCTGGAGCTGAAGCTGGTGCTGGGGACCCCATTGTGCCGGGTGTCACCTCTTTAGTTGCCGGTCAGTGAAGTCCGGACAAAGGAGGGGTACAGAGGGGCGGGGAGAGCTCAGGAGGTGGGGGGCAGTGCAATTTACCACAAGGCCCAACGGTATCCGGCATCTGAACAGTCTGTACAACTGCCTGACAATATCAGGGGCTGGGAGCCCTGTCATGGAGTCGGAGCCTCAGCTCACCGCCCCCACCCCCCATCCCACCCCAACCCCACCCCCACATCCCTGTCACTGTGTGACCAGAAGGAGCTGCTGCTCCTCAGTGACTGAGGCCCTACTGTATGCCGGAGTCTGCGCCTCACCCGTAACATCTCAGTCTCCCCATTTCACAGAGAAGACAGGATCGGTGGTGAAGTCAGCAACCCAAACACACAGCGAGGAGACCAAATGGGACTGAAAACCCACCTGGCTCCGCCCCCACATGGCCCCGCCCACATGGCCCCGCCCCACATGGCTCCGCCCCACATGGCTCCGCCCCCACATGGCTCCGCCCCACATGGCTCCGCCCCGGTGTCCCCGCCCCCATATGGCTCCGCCCAGGGTCAACGCATGAAGGAGGAAGGAAGGGAACAAGGGACCCACCGTGCGGTTGTGGGGCCTGGGCTCAGAAGCTCGGATAGGCCGGTTCAGGCTGGGCCGGCCTACGTAGACGTCGCGAGTCTGTGGGAAGGCTTTCAGCAGCTTCAGCAGTGCCCTTGGGTTCACGTAGTTGTCGTCATCCACGTGGCAGAACCACCTGTGGGGACAAAAAGGGGATGGGAAGCTTGGAGGAGGGTTCCCAAGGGCTGCGGGCTAGCCAGACTCCCCTGCGCCCCCCATAAGTCAGTCAGCAAAATTAGGCAGGGAGAGAGTAGCTAACACCGAAAGCCCATGCCCTATGTGAGCTCCTGAGGAAAGCGTGCCCGCTTAACAGGTGGTAACAGAGGCTCAGAAAGGTTAAGACACCTGCCCAAGGTCACACAGTCTGTAAATGGCAAGATTTGAACCCAGACCGTCTGCCCAGAGACAGATCCCAGGAGGCCCTTACATGCTTAAATTCATAGGACCCAGCTGACTTCACTTTTTTGTCACAACACCTATTCGGGAACTAGACCGAGGCAAAGGTCACACTTGCCCTCAGAGACCCAGGTGCACTCACCGCAGCCTGCTGGCCAAGAAGGTGTCAAACTCAGCAGCCATCTTGCAGGACAGGGCGGGGTGACTGTGCTCAGCAGAGCAGTTGGTGACCACGAGGTGGGACCCTGAAAAGTGCGGACAAGTCAGGGGACCCAGCCCGGGTCCTCCCTTCAGGTCTACCCACCGTGAGAATGAAGAGCAAGACCCCACCCATTCTCATTTTACACATGGGGAAACAGACGCCAGGGAGGGCTGACCCTCCCAGGACCCCAGAGCTAATGAATGGGAGGCTGGGCTGGGACCCAGGGGTCCAGGGTACTGTCCAGGACAGCCGCTCCTCATGCCACACCCACTTCAAAGAAGCCTGCTCCCCTCCCCACATGGCAAAGGAGGGCAGCCCTATTTCCTGGGGACCCGGGACCAGGGGACAGCCACACCAGCTTTCCCTGGAAACAACTGAGGAGTCTCCACCCCCATCTGAAGTTACCCAGTCTCTCCTGGAGGCCTTCATCTGGGCTGTCGGTGAAGACAAACGTCTAAGAAGGAGAAAGAGGGAGGAGTCAGGACCGGAGTCGACCAAGGGCAGCCCACAGCCACGCCCCTGCTGAAACACGGGTCCAGAGCTGTGCCCTCCATCAGTGACAGACACACAACCCCAACATCATCACACACTCCTTTCAGACACCATGACTTTCTCAGCTACCCCCACAAGACACACAACACAGCCTCCCAGCATGCACCACCCACTGTGTCACCTGCACGAGCACCCTTATAGACCAGCGCCCATGGAGACCCTCCCAGAGTCACACCGTATTCTATCCCACACACATACACACACTGCAGTCCCACTTGGCCCCTCCATCACCACACTTACGCAACCCAAGACACTTTGTCAGGAGACAGACTCCACGTGGGAAGACCCACGCCCTGGGGCACCACACCAGCCTGGGGAGTTGGTCACGTCTCTCCATAGCCACACCGGCCGCCCCAGGGCAGGTGCGGGGTCCTTACACATCTCAGAAGTTTTACATCGTGATCCAACCCCAGCTCTGATGACCTCCCTGAACCTTGAGCCAGGTGATCTGTTCCCCTCACAGAGGGCAAGGCTCTTCCCCTCACAAGATGGCTAAGGGACAGACTATGGTTGTGCAGTTGGAAACTGCTGAGCTGGGATTCAGACCCACAGGTCTCAAAACGCCCCCAACCCTGGGCAGGGAGAGGCCACTCAGGCCCTAGATAAATTGAACACAAACTGAACGAGAGACAAATTGAGGTCGCTTGGGGCCAGACGGAACGCAGCTGGGGACCCATCTAACCCCCATTCCACACCCTGCCCAGTACATGTCCCTTTCCCTGCCTGAGCAGGTCCTCTTGTCTGCCAAGCACAGCAAGAGCCTCCTCTGACCCACAGGGGGCCCTGCCCAAACCCTGGACAATTTTGAATTCTTTCCAAGGGAGGACCAAGGAAAAAGCATCCCACCTGTTGAAAGGCCCTCAGCCACCCCGGAGCTGGCCCTGTCCTCCTTCCAGACTCAGGCCTCCAACTGCACGCCCCTCTCTGCTCAGCCACAAACTTCTCCCTGGTTTCCAGGAACCAGCCCTTCAGGTCAGATCAAACCCTGCCTTGAGCCTCAGTTTACCTGGCTGGAAAATGGGGACTAGGGGTAGCTGTGATGGTAAAGTGAGATGATGTGAGAAAGGAGAAGAAAGAGGTGGCAGTGAAGCCAGGCTCTGCTTCCTATCTTGAGGGAAACTGAGGCATCGGTGGCCAGAAGCCAGGGTTGGGCACAGGAAGGGGCACAAAGGAAGAAGTCCTGTCTCCCCAGGGCCTATAACCATGGGCCTTCTGAGCTACATACTATCTTTCAATGGATTCGTGCAAGATCTTCAGATCTGTTCTCTTGTCGGCACCAGAACCAGATAATACCCATATTCACCACCCCGCCTAGCGCCTTCTGTGGCTCCCTACTGCCCTTGGGATAAAGGCCACCTCCTAAGTGTGGCCATGAGGGTCCACCCAGCCCCTGGGCCTGATGCAGCCTATCTCGCCACTTCCTGCCCCACCCCTCTTTTAAACCCAAAGGTTTTTCAGTTCCCCAAATGTGCCACACACATGCACACTCCTCTGAGCCTTTGCTCATGCTGTGCCCGTTTCTTGTCCCCTAAGTCCTAGTTCAGTCACCGCTTCCTCCAGGAAGCCTTCCCTGACACCCCTCCCATGTGTCCCTCAGCCACCTATTCCACCTGATGGTAAGTAACAGCAGCCCCTCAGTTACAGAAATCTGTCCTTTGGACTCTCCCACCAGACAGTGACATCCTGAAGGGCACAGGCCTGGTCTGCTTTATCTCCCTGTGCCAGCACCCAGCTCACCTCTGAGAGGCCTGGGCAGCACCCAGCTCCTCAGCAGCCCCTCCCTGGGATGTGTCTCCCGCCTTCAGATTTAGAGAACACTGGAGGTCCCCGGATATCCCTGCAGAAAGTTCTGGCGGCCCGACACTGGCCCTCTTCTTTGTCCCATCCACTGCCTCAGCAACGCTATCTTGCCTCTTGGCATTCAGCCCCATCAAGAAGACATCAAACCCCACGGCAGCCACAGTTTCTCCCTGGGTGCCTCAGATTCAGTGGCCCAGCTCCCCCCAGACCTGTGCCCCTCTGGGTGCTCCCCATCTTGCTGGGTCCCAGCACCTTGGGGTCACCATGCCTCCTCTCTTCCTCACCCAGGATGCCAGCTCTCCACAGCAGCCAGCATGGCCAGCGGTGGCCCAGCCCCTCCATGGTCCTCTCCTGCCGGCTTTGCTGCTGTCACCTTTGCCCTGGTCTCCCAACTCTGTCCTACCTTCACCCCAAGTCTGTTTTCAACACAGCCCCCCGGGAGCCAAGGAAAGAAATCAGGCCTTTCTTGCCCTGCTCCCTGGCAAACTTTTGCCACCAAACAGCCATCAGACGTTGGAACTCTCTGGAGTTTGGAGCATGGGCCAAATGGGTCAGGGCATACTTGCTGATGGATGAATGAGCCCGAATCAGTGGGGAAGTGGGGGTTTCCTGCAGCAGGGCTGGGGGCTAGGCGGGGCGCGTGAGGCTGGTGTTCCAGTCCCCCGGAACCCTGAGATTGGCACAGAGCAGTGGGCAGAGTTTCCTCTGAGCCAAGGGTTGCATTTAATTTGTTTGAGGAGACTCTGACAATGGTTAAAACCTCACAGGAAAACAAAAGGCCAGGCAGCCCGCTGGGGTCAGGGGAGGGGGGCTGGGGGCCATCTGCTGGAAGATGTGAGGCAGGCACTGCGGCCCCACCCCCAACCCACTGCACTCGAGGGGCCTGCGGGGAAGGGAAACTTCTCCCCACTGATCACAAAACGGGCCTCCCCCAGCCCGCCCCCTCTGCCTGGGACAAAGGCCACATGAGCCCCAGCCTGCCGCAACAAAGGCCCACCTGCCACCCGGCTGCCCTTAACCAGCTGGGGCGGGCGCCCAGCCCTGGAGTTAACCAGCTCAGGCCTGCTCTTGATGGCAGAGCTAAGAGAGGCTCCGAGACCCTCCTGTCCCGTGCAGATGGGGAAACTGAGGGCTGAAAAGGGGAGGGCCTCGGCCAAGGTCGCAGAGAGAGATGAGCCAAAGGATAGAGACAAAGGGGCCCCAGACAAGGTGCGGTACAGTAAGAATGTGTCTCCCTGTCTCCCTTCCTCTTCCTCAATGCAAGCATCCTTCCTGTTCTCAACTCTGCATAAAGGACAAGTTTTCTTGACTCTGTCCCTTTGTGCTGGGGTGGGGGTTGCGCAACTGAGTGAATTCATCTCCTACCTCAATCCCTCCCTCTCGTGGCTGTCGATGGGGTGAAAGGGAGCGAGGCATCTGATGGGCAGCCCCTGGGGTACTGAGCCGCTGACAGCTCCTCCCACTGCCTGCCTAGCTGGCATGTGGGATTGAGCTCGAGACACAGAGTGGGTGGCTGCTTCCTCTCCTTTGCTGACATGGTCCTGCCAGGGCCACCCAGGCTGGGGGCCCAAGGACCCTCTCCTGTAAGCCGAGTGATGAGGCAGCTCCGGGATCCTGGGTCTCAGCAGAGAAATAAGGGTCCCAGCCGGGAGGAGGGGGCTGGGTTCCCCTGGGCTCTGCGCCCCTAGGCCTTTGGGGTGACGCTGACAAGCACTTCCCCTCTCTGGCCTCAGTTTCCTCATCCGGGGCAAGGGCACCACCATGGTGATCAAGGCAAGGCAGGAAGGGGCCTCAGATCACGTGAGGCAGGCTCCCGGGTACACAGACGCAGCACCATAAACAGGAAGGTCTGCGGGGAGGGCTAGACTCTGCGGCTTCCGCAGGAGGAACCGGAATCTCCCCCAAGATGAGAAGCAGCTCTGGGGCCCAGGGAAGAACCTGGGTGCTGGCGTCCCACTGGAGGAAGGGTTAGATAGGGTGCTAGAACATCATGGTCAGGAAATCGGGGGTGGGGTGCCCTCGTCCCAGAAGGCCCTGGGCTCCTATAGACATCACCTTCCCTACTCCTTGGTCTCCCAGGAGCCCCCAGTCCCCTCCAAAGGCCCAGTCACTTCCTCCCACTGAGCCAGTCACCGTAGTAGTGTGTGTGTAAAGCTCTGTGTGTGTGTAAAGCCTTCACCTTCCCCAGAGATGGTTCCCTAAATCACTGACTTGGCTTGGGGAGGGCACTGGGTCTGGGGAGGGCAAGAGCCAGAGGGACTCAGCTTGTCCCCAGAAAGACACAAGTCACGCGCCCCTGTCATCCACACACGTCTTGTCATGGCCCATCTAAGGCGGATAACGGGCTCCATGCAGAGGCACACACACACACACACGCATGCACACACACATACTCACATGCTGGGCACACCTCTAACCTCTCCCCGCCATCACTCCCTCGCTTGGCCACCCCCTCACAGCGGACCTCCCCGCTCCGTCCCAAACTGCCCCACAGGAAAGGAGCACAGGAGATGAGGCTCAGCTGTGCCGGGCACGCCCTGGTGCCCAGGGCTGTCAGGAATTCTGAAAGGATGCCCCCCCGCCCCGCCCCTCTCTGCCCAAAAGGTGACCCCTAGACCTTCCTCTCCTCGGCGGCTCAGCGCCTGTTCCCCCCACCCCAGCACAGCCAGAGCCGCCGGGGCCTGCAATGGGGACAGCCTGGCCTGGGCACACATCAGAGTCAAGACCTCACAGAGGTCTCTACCCCAGCCTCCCAGAACCTCCTGCTGGTCCCATCGCCAGGCTGGGCTAAGGTGGGCAGGAGCAAACCGGTGCTAGAACAGCCAGGGACGAGAGGGACCCCCAGGAGTCTGGAGCAGGGCCCGGGCTGGCCCCTGAAAGATAGGGAGCAGGGGGCCTGAGGAGAACCTGGCTCCAGGGCCAGCGAGGGGCACAGGCAGGACGGCAGGAGCCCCTGATCCCAGGAGGAGAGAGAAATGGGAAGACAAGCCCAGATAGGGCAGGTGGGCAGGTGGCTTCTCCCTGGAGGCCACCAGGGACCCCAGCCCAAAAGAAAGGCTTCCGGGCATCCCTCAGGCCAGGGCCCACTCCTGGGGCCCAGAGTTGCCCACTTGTCACCTGTTCCCTGGTCCTGGAGACCCACGTGTCGAGCAGCAGCTCCAGGCGGGAGCGGTGGAAGGCTCGGGTCGTCTTGACTGCAATGAAGACATCGTGCAGCCGCAGCTCACGGGACAGAGGGCTTGGCGGGCACAGCCTGGGGGTCTCCTGCACGCCCTGTGGGGACAGGCTCGAGTGGTACCGTAGGGAGAGGAGCCCCATGCACAGAAGGGTGAGGAGGGCTCCCGCCAGGCCCCGGAGGAGGCGGCACTGCATTGGCCCTGGGACCTCAAACAGCTCAGCCCCCGAATCCCCGCCCGACAGGGAGGTGAGGCTGGTTCGTCGGGGGCCCAGGCCAAGGCAAAAATCTGGTAGGCATGGGGGGCATGCGAGGAGGGGAGAGGTGGGGACTAGTGCTCTGGCCCCGGAGGCCAAGCCCCGGCAGCCCCGCCGCCGCCGCCGCCGCCGCCGGCCCTCCCCACCTGCTCCGGACGAGCTCCCGCCCGGCTCTGGGACGCCTGGCCCCGCCCCTGCCTCCCGCGCAGCCCGAGGGGCGGGGCCGGTCCCGGGGAGCCCCAGAGGTGGCCAGAGAAGGCTCCGCTGAAGGGACAGCCCCAGCCCCGGCCGCCGGCCAGCTGCTGCAGTGGGGGTGGGGACAACAAACCCTCCGTGCCCCATGGAAGGGAGGGGCCTTCCAGCCTCCCCACTCCCCAGAGGCTGTCGCTTAGCTCATTCAACACGCATTGTTTTTTGGTGTCCTGCTCTCCAGCCTCTCAGCTTTTGCTCACACTGTACCTCCTCCTGGATGCCCTCCCCCATCCTCCCCATTGTCACCCGTGTTCCTTTCACCCAGCTTCATACTTTTTGGACGTTAAGGCTCAGCTCAAGGGTTCCCACCTCTAGAAAGCCTTCCCTGATGCCCCCCCGCCCAACCTCCGGGCCCCCACAGTAGTTGGCTCCTGACAACAGCTCGAGCATTGCTAGTCCCAATCGAGAGCTGAGCACATAAGGCAAGGAATGATCGAAGACGACCCAGCAGCTCAGCCACAGAGCCAGTGGAACCCAGGTCTCTGGGCCTCCCCTGGCCCACAGGAAACCCCAAGGAGTGCCTGTCCTGCTGTGGCTCACCACCCCCCATCTCACTCAGCAGTCTTTATTGCTGCCTCTCTCCCAGCCAGGAAGGGACAGAGGGCATTCTCCAGCCAGCGCCTCCATCTGGTTGGACACAAGGCCACTCGCATCTCATCCTTCCTCTGTTAGAACCCTGCATCACTCATCTCCCTCAGAACAAAAGCCCAAGATCATACAGCAGCCAACAGGTCCTGTGTGAACAGGCTCCCCGTTCCCTCCAACCCCTCCTCCTACTACTCTTCCCTTGCTTCCTCCGCTCCAGACCCACTGGACTTCTGGCTAGTCCAGGCACATATCCACCTCAGGACCTTTGCACATGCTGTTCCTGCCTGGGCCTTTCCCTAGAAGTTTGCACATCTCACTCCCTCACCTCCTTCAGATCTACATAAATATGTTCTCCATAAGGACTTCGCAGGCCACTTTTTAAAAATTGCAATATCTTCTCCCCACTCCTCCCTAGCCCCCCCACCCTCAGGCCTGCCCCTTTTTCTGCTATGTTCTCTCCACAGCACTTTTTATCTTCCAATACACTGTATATTTCACTTGTCTATTGTCTGTCTTTCTCGTGTGTATATCAGGGCAGGAAGGGTCTTTTTTTATTCACTGAATCCCCACTGCCTAAGCACATAATAGGAACTCAAGAAATATTCATTAAACACAAGAAAGTACCAGAAAAACACAAGAAGATACCAGATGGCTGGTGGATTGCACTGGGCTTTCCATGGTCCAAGCCTGCACTAGGTCTGCGGAGGGAGAGGAAAGAAGAACCAACCCTTTTGAATCATCTTCCTGTGAGCCAACCCCATGCCAAGCCCACTCATGGCCCATCCTCTCAGAATGGCATATCCGAGAGCTGATCCTAGGATTCATGCCACACGGACCAGGGTTCAAATACTGACTGGGCTACTTATTAGCTGTGTGGCTTTGAGCAAGTTACTTTACCTTTCTGAATTTTAATTTCACCATTTGACAAATGGAGACAAACTTAAGACGTGGTGAGGATTAAGGGTTGAGGGCTTCCCAGTAAAAGCATACCTACCATGGGACCAGACAAAGGCAGCTGCCTCACTGATGTCCCACAATGTTACCCAGACTCATATGTCCATAGACCAAGCACTGCTCCAAGCACACAGCGAGAAAGTGGGGAGGTTCATTTACCCAAATGGGCATTACCCGGTCTCCACACCCAGGGGGCCCACGGCCACCTTCAGAGATCCACCATCCTGCCACAAGGCAGCCCATGGCATGGCTAAGAAGTCCCAAGGTCTGGCAGCATCGAGCAGGCTTCATGGAGATGGTATCTGAGCCAGACCTCAAAAGACACTAAGATATAGGCAGCCCCCACCCCTGAACTTGGACTTCCCAGCCTCATCTCCTACCACTCCCCAGGGGGCCAAATTCAACCCATTTTCTGTCTCTGAGGCTTCACTCTGGGGATTCCTTCCACCTAGTAACCCACTCTCCCAAAACCTGCACAGGCTGACCCAAGTTCATCACTGTGACTGAGGGCAGTAGAAGATGACGAGGACAGCACTTAGGCACATTGGCCCAATAAATACTTCTTGAAGGAATCCCAGACCCTGAGCTGAAGCAGCAGCCCCGTAGCAATCCTGTCTGCATGTCCTCTCGCGGGCAGAACAGTCTTAGGACCTGACTATGCACAGATGGTTTGCTCTGGGTCTCCTGGACTTGGTAACCGGGCGCTTTAAGCCAAGACCATACCCTGCTAGCCTCAGTGTCCCCTCTCCATGGGATGCTCCTTTGATGATCAGACACAGGCAGAGCTGAGCGTGGAGGTGGCCCATCTGTGGGGCCCTTTTTCGGTCATTCGGGGGCAGGTAAGGTGATGCCAGCAGATGGCGGGCAGCTCTGGGATGAGCCAGGAACGAAATCTGACCCTTCCCATGGGTAATCAGGGGGATGGGGGAGCCTGAGAGGTGGTATCAGCATGATCTGGGGGTGGGGACAAGTCGGGGGAGTGGAGAGGGGGCCCTGCAACAGGGAGGCAGGCAAGCAAAAAGCCACCAGCTTCTATAACAAACTGTTTAATGTTCCATAATGTGCAGATTCTGAGTGAAAAGGACCCGTTAAAAATCTACGGGCCATACATTCTGGTGACGGAACAGCCACCTTCTCCCTGCTGTCCCTCTGAGAGGCAGGTCACCGCAAAGAGATGGCGCTGTGAGAAGATGGTCCTCGGCGTGCTCCCGGGAACACACGACTGTTAGTGCCCAAGGTCACGGGCCGGAGTCTGACATTTACACAGGAGAGAACCACAGATACACAGGAGACGAGAAGACATGAGGGGCACGGTGGGCCAAGGAGGCCACGGTGCCCACGTGTGGAGGTATACATAAGGAATGTGAGTGGAGTCGGGGGGGGCAGGGGCTCGTGGGACGGGCTTGGGGTTCCTCGGACAGAAGGGAACGAGAACCCAGAAGACCTCAGGTGCCTGCCATGAGAACCTGGGTGTGTAAACCAGTGCACAGGAGTGAGAGCTCAGATGCTCCTGGGGGGCAAGAAGGACAAGGACACAGACGTGCACGTGAGACCCGCGAGTGGCATCACGGAGACACGGGGGGCGCACAGAAGGCCCAGAGCAGCACATACAGGGGCGGTGGGAGCTCTACCCCAACGGCTCCTGGAAATTCGCTCCAGATCGGGGAGAGCCCAGAGGCGGGGGCCCCATGTCTGGGAGTCCAAGGGTCTAGTTAGGCTCAGGATGGGGAGGACCCAGCTCCACTGCAGACTCCTGGGGCCCCGTCGGGGGCTTCGCAGGCATGTGAGGAAGCCACAGGCATCGGAGGGGGCCCCTCAGGCCTCGCTGCTGCCGCCCCCGCTGCCGCCGCTGCCGCGCTCCACCCACACGAGCCGGGCCTGCTCCTGCAGGATGCGGCTGCGCACCACTTTGGCCAGCTCCTCGGAGTGTCCCCACGCGTGCACCGGCACCTGCACCCAGGAGCAGGGCAGCCCCCACAGCACCTGCTCCGAGCGATGGCACTGCCGCAGCAGCTCCGAGTCCCGGCAGCCAGGCCGGCCCAGCAGACCCCTGCCGAGAGAGCGGGTGGGCCGTGGTCAGAGCTGGGGACAAGGACAGCCGGGGACGCAGAGACACACCAGGGTGTGGAGAGCCAGAGAGAAGATGGACAGAGGCAAGGAGACACAGAGAGACACAGACATCCAAAGAGGGGGAAAAGGCTGGTCCTACCCACCCCCAGTCCTTACCTGACTTCCCGGACATTCTTCTCTGTCACCTCCACGTGGATGACAATGGGGTAGATCTCGTTCTGGACCAGCTCCCGCACGCCCCGTGCGCCTAACTCCAGCAGGCAGTGCTTCTTCTCCGGAGACCAAGGCTATATTTTACTCCAGCCCAGAGACTCGAACCTCCCTGCCCCCACTGGGCCCCTGGGGCACAGCCCCCCATGGGGGCCCCCGTCCCCCTCCAGAAGGGCCTTGGCAATAAGGAAAGACCCACAAGGGAAGGCGAGAGGCCTGGAGAAGTCAGTCTCACTCCTGCTCCGGACCTCACCCTTGCCATCAGTGGGATGGAGTGAACCCCACCATCACTCCCATGCCTGGCAGCCCCTGGCCAGCCCCCCAGGTAGCGGTGAATCTGAGACATGACAGACAGGGGAGATGGACCAGCCAAACACCTCGAGGCTGACCCATGTGTGACCAGCCCAGCCGTCCTGTTCGCAGGTAAGGCAACAGGCCCAAGGAAGGGCAGGGAGCAGCACAGGCCTGTGCTCAGACTCTAGCCCCCCAGCCCAGAGAGGCAGCCCCCCACCCCAGCACCTACCTTCCCGACAGACTCCTGGATGGCACGGAGCCTGCTGCCCAGCCCGGGGGTGGCAGGCTGGGCCTT